GTTGTTACTTGAATAGGTAATCTAGATATTCTTATCGCTATCGCTCATAAGGTCTGAAGTCTGAACCTCAAGTTTTATTGGAGTCCCACCAGGAAATTGCCAATTGAGTCTGGATTTGTGGCCAGTGCATAACAATAGGGTCTCTCCCTATTGTTGGACTATTGTATGTACATAAATAGGAACTTCCCAGAATTGCAGTTTGCCTGGATCGAATTGCTTTATAAGATTAGCGAAATACCTAATTTGAAATTCATCATCATGATAATGACCAACAGTCTACTGATCAAATCCTCTTCTTACACAGAGAAGATTTGAGCATTAATTACCACGCTTGCGCTTTGCGGGTTGGCGATTTCAAACTTATAATATGTATAAATAGAAATTAATTTTAACCTGCCATCTTCAATCCTTCTGCCAAGTGAGGAGAATGACTATCCTATGACTTCTCCCGCCCAGTTTAGGCGAGAGGGAGTGTCAGACTCTTACTGACTAAAAACCACCCCGTTCCTAAGTACTCCTGCTCTTAGAGATGCCCCGGCAACCCGTTAGGCCATCTGCGGATCCGTATCGGGCATCATGCCTACTGGGCCCCATAATCTGTGGTGGTCTGTACTCTGAAAACGAGCGACGCGCCGTACGCAAGGTGGTCGGAGATAGTCGCGCGATCTCCCGCGAAGACGGCTGGGGCAGAGAACAAAGTCTAGCAATGGCCTGTCACCGGCTGTGGTTTATGATTAACTATGATAATGTTTTTAAATAATTATATTACGAACTACAGTCTTTATTATTACGGATAATAAGGGATAGTTTACCAAAATTCTTAAATCTTGACAACTGACTTTGACATCGCGGTTATTTCAACGAAAGTTTAGACAGTTAGATAATGCTGCTACCCGTCTCTCGGGGATCGCTGTTTACGACATTGATACACCGCCCCATTATTTTTATTCTTCTAGTAACTAATTATTAACAGACCAGTGCCTGTAGCCTCACCCTCTATTACATGAGACTCATAACATAAATAGTGAAAAGTGGGTGTTACATTGTACAGTGGCATAATGTACACCTCTGCCTACCCCTTCGGAAATAAAAGGCGTGATGTTATGCTATGTGCCTGTAGAATTAAGAAACAATATTTAAGACTCAAGTTGTAACATCGATTCGCCTGTTATTTTATGAGTTTATAAATGGACAACTGGCAATGCTAGATTTTTTTTATACTTATTAGGTCCAAGTTTGACCACCATCTCGCCTGGTGGTAAGCGATGATGTGGCTGACGATGGAGCTCGTCTACCTATGAGCAACTTCTTCACTCGGGACTTGATGACATCCAAGTCATATTTGAAGGGAAACACAAACTCCGGCAAGGAATTCCATTCCTCAGCAGTTCGCATGAGGAAGCTTGACGCGAAACGCTTGATTCTTGGATTATTTTCTCCCTCAAAAAAAAAAAGGTTTCCTTACGATGTTTTCCATCACCGTTTATCAATGGTGTCTAGATAATCTTAGAAACTACCATATAACTCGGTAAAAAGTCACATTGGTACTTGCCGTTGGTAGGTTTCGAACCCTCATGCATGAGAAGCGGGGGTCTTAAACCTCCGGGTCAAAACGACAATGGCATATTTAAGTACAATTAAAATTGAGTATCCATTCAGTATTAGGTCGTGGGCTTATCGTACAAAATGTAACCTGCCAGTCACAATAAATATTTTCTTTAACAAATACCAATTTGAATTACGAATCATATTTCATAGCCAACCAGGATCGAAATAAAAAGCGAATTCATCAACCTATTTACAAATGAAACTGATCCTTAGCAACATTATGATAAAGTGCTTTTTACAATGTAATTGACACGCTTGATATTAGGGGTTAAAATGTTATTCAGTGCCTAAGTACGGACGGCCGGTGTTTGGACCATTAGCCTAATGGAATTGTACTATCAATTCATTAGTAGTTGTTTACAGTCGAAAGAGTGTAATTGTTTGATGTGTACTATACTTTTCAAGTTGGATAATGGCTTTAGGGCGCACCCTTATTGCATGTGGCAATTGTATTTGTAATACATAAAACATAACATCACGCCTTTTATCCCCGAAGGGGTAGGCAGAGTTGCACATTACAGTACTTAATGCCACTGTATAATGTAACACCAACTTTTCAATATGTAGGTATGTTATAAGTCCCATGTAATAGGGGCTGAGCCTATTGCAGATTCCGTGCTACCACTGAGAATTTTTAAAAACCCAGAAATACTTTGCCCGACCCGGGAATCGAACCCGAGACCCCTTAAGCGACAGTCGCATTTCCAACCATTCGGCTAACGAGGCAGTCAGTATTTGTAATGTAACTGGCACAAAGTACAGTTATCCTAGTCATTTGGTTTTATCATCATCCTATAAGCCCCTACTGCTAAGACTCCAGCGCTAAAGCAAAAGATTCGCAGCTCAGTACACTAGTTCCACGCCCGTCCGCTAGTGGTGTCATTTTTTTAAGGGGTGAAAATCATCCAATGACTTCTCCCGCCTGGGTGAGGCGGGAGGGAGTGTCAGACTCTTACTGACTAAAAACCACCCCGTTCCTTCTGCTGTACGTCGAGCCGGAGCCCCGGTTACCCGTTAGGTTCTCCGCGGTGTCTGCGGTATACGAACTTCTCCCATGCATAAGTTGCTAACCTTTAAGCTATAAATCAATAAAAGCCGTGAATATTATAAAAGAAAACTATCAATATATCTAATAACTGCGTGACGAGTCGTCCGCCTACAATTGTAGACACCAGCATAAGAACCTACACCAACATCTTTAATAGATTTTCAATCATACGTTCATACTATAATAAGGTTGAAATTCAAACACCAAGTTGTCAGAATAGTTATAGCGTAATCACATCAAACGTCTTTAAACTATAAAATCTGTTAGTCAACTTTCAACCTTAGGAAAATGATATTAGGTTGAACATTCTAACACAGTGATAGTATAGCTTGACTTGCAGCCAGTGTTAGACTAGTCATGCAACCATTAATAATGTAAGTACTGGTTCATCAATCGATACAAGTAGTTCTAGTTCCAATATTATATCAGTGTATTATATGTTGACGGCGCTTCTGTTTATCCGGTCATAACAGCAATGGGGGCAATGGAATGGATTTATTTTCTTCATTTCTTGATAAATATTTTCGTGTCGTGGTAGCCCAGAGGTTAAAGACGTACGCTTCTCAAGCATGAGAGTGCGGGTTCGAAACCTACCAATGAAAAGTGTGACATTTTTCGAGTTATAGTT